GAACGACATAACATCTTAAGGGAACGAGATAACTATCTTGTGGTAACGACATAATATCTTGAGAGAACGATAACACTTTCTTGTGGGAACGGCATAGCATATTGAGGGAACGACATAGCGTCTTAAGGGAACGAGATAACTATCTTGTGGTAACGACATAATATCTTGAGAGAACGATAAAACTTTCTTGTGGGAACGGCATAGCATCTTGAGGGAACGACAAAGTATCTTAAGGGAACAGCTTTTTTTTCTTACATGGCAGCATTCTGCCACCGTACGATAAGGATATTTTGACGAATCACGATAAAACTTTAACCATTTAGTCGCTAACGCGACGTAAGCCGAAAATGACCATTAGGCGCCTGAAGTAAAGTGCATCGCTACCCTCATTAAAGCCATCGATGTGATTAAAAAGGTATTAAAAATTTTAAAAAAGAGCTATAAATGTTTTTATTCCACTGTTTAAACATATTGATAGTTTAATCAATATTTGATTGGTTGAGACTATCCCACGTGTCATTGAACAAATCTTCATATTCCATTCTGAGGATCATATTCCCCTCTGAAATCTCGGGATTACTTCGTGCGACGTTACGCGCGGTTAATGTACATAACGTTTTGAACTTCTTATTCTTCTTGAAATAGCGATGGCAAAAATCATTATCATGTTCAAATTTATTTCAGACGATAAAACAAAAAGACTTATAATTAAATTTGGATCCTTACTATTTATCAATGGGTATCTCGTGTTTAGTTTGACTTACAAAAACAAGCGGATAAGAAAAAAAATGTATGCAAAATAATATTTAATGTATTGATAGTAAACAAAGCATAGGCGGTGGAATAAAACATTCATTTCCCTTTGCCTCGGGAGATATGAAGATTTGCTCACCCTCGAAAAATCATATTTCCCTCGGGCAGAGCCCTCGTGAAATATGAATATTCTTGGGTGAACAAATCTTCATATTTCCCTCCGGCACGGGAAATAAATGTATAATGTTCTCTATTTAATAAACACAATGTGGGAACGCAACTGTATGTTTTTTTTTTTGATATTGTGGTCATTCGGGAGACTGTCAAGCGGGGCTCCGACATTCGAAATAATTTTCGGATACGTGTTTTTTTTTTCAGTATTATCTCTGGGGCTTACTTGTAATGTATATGAGAAAACTTTTGTATCTGTCATTAATATTCAAACATTGAGGGGTGCCGAACCCATTCTTAAAGCAAAAAAACAGGGGGAAAATTGAAATAAAACTAAGAGCTCCGACCCAAATTATGGAAATAGTTGTGTTCGTTCAGCTGAAGTTTTGACTTTTAATAATAGAATTGTTTTCAAAATTTTTAAGGTGTTTAAAAAGAATTAATATATAGTTTTTCCTCAAATTTAACTTCAATATGTTTACACTCACAAATAGTTCTAAATCTTTAAAAACACATGTCACTATTTATTTTTCACTGTACGGTCACTTGTCGGTAAACAACTTTCGACTGTATTATCACTTGGATATGTAATGTCGATTGGGTGCAGAGTCATGATTTGGGCTAGAGTATGCATGAAAAAAAAGTTACAAAACAGTACAACATAAGAATGAATTATAAAGATATATTGAAAATGGTTCAACTCAACAAGGCATAAAAAACCAACGATCAAAAAGATAAAGTACCGATTGACAGTTACTGAAACTAGTCTTACACCAATTATAACTTATAAAACTCACGTGTCCCCAGACTTTAATATCACTCAGTAATCATCAAATTATTCTGAAAATTGATATGTCAAAAATAGTCTAGATCGAAAAGATATTTAGTACTTGTTTTTTTGCAGCTTTAACATTTCACATACAGTCTAAAATAGGGCCATGTTAGCCTATGTCATCACTTGACGGACGGACGTAAATTATTTTAAAATTCTTCTCCTCTGAAATTACTGTTCCAAATACATCCAACTTTAACTGGATGTTCTTTATAGTTGTGTCTAGTTTATACATTCTATCCGGGGATTTCATACATAAAAGAATTGCCACCATTGCCAAAAATTAAACATAAAAAGGGGGGGGGGGGCGGTTTTTTGCTTATATCTCGAAACCTAAGCACTGCCATGAAATAAATAAAATATTTACTCATATTTGAATCGCCGTGGATTCGATTCTCAGTAAGTTGAAACCAAAGAAGAAAGTTGGTATTTGCTGTTTCTCCTATTAGTATGCAGCATGTGGGGGTATTAGTAAAGATTGGTAGGTCCATATATGACGGCCTAGTAAATTTCGGGGTCAAGATTGATATCTCATAATGTAGGTTCTAACCTGAACATGCACACCTCATGTTTTATCAAACATGAATAAACCTGAATCCTATCAGTTCCTTTTGTGGTATTCAAAATTCTTTGCGTGTATTATATCTGGAACACACATTCTAAGAGTTGCGAGGTGGTAAATTGCATGTGGCTTAATTACAATCAATAATAGTTCGAGTTCAAGTTCGAGATGATCTTCAAGTTATATTTCGAGTTACTTTCCAAGTTAAACTTCGAGTTCGAGTCAAAATTCCAGTATCAGCAACATTCGAGTCACCTTAAATTATGTTTGAATTCTTTACAAATTGTTGTTACAAATTAGCAAATACGTGATTGCAAGAATATATGGCCATATTAAATACATTTTATTGTTACATATGTAAATAGTTCTATCATGCCCACGGGGTATAACCGCCGTACGATTGATCCCGGAAGTTAATCGCTGCATCGCGAGGTTGGCAGATAGACCATCCTAAAATTTTCACCGAAGACTAATTGACGTACTGTTCAGTTAAGTATTAAATTTTGATAAAAACATAGTTTACTGATCCTGACAGCATTCTATATTACTAGAAGATGCCCGCGAAATCGCAGTACAAATAGGTAAGAGTTGAAACAAAACAAAAATCAATTTTCGTGGGTAGTACGCCGACTGAGCATACACGAAAGCGTATAAGACCAAGAAAAATAAGTACTACAAAACACTACATGTATACGTCATATCACAAATATTTCCGACTTTGTATGGTTTCAGAGGAGTTGCTGCTCAATGAAATCGGTCTCTTCCTTGAGTAGTATAGATTTATATTACAATGAAATCGGTCTCTGCCTTGAGTAGTATAGATTTATATTACAGGAACACAATGTGACTTGTAATGATCGCGAAACAAATATAACAAATAATATTTCACTCGAGTTTTTTTTACATATGTTTATTCATATTCTGTATAATTTTATTCTTTTAATGTGCATTTACATTTAATTTCGGTTTTTATAACTAATAATACAAATTAAAAAAATATTATTTGCCATTATCTTCACTGAATTCACAAAGTCAGGAAATAGCCGATATTTTTCGTGTATCTTTCACGTTTCGTTCCCGATCATATGACAGTTTATTATAAAATCGGTTGCGGGTAGCCTACGAAGGCCAATTTGGCTACGCAAAAAAATCGTGTGTCATGTGAAAATTTCCAACTAATCTAGGACTTGCATGAATTATTCTTTAATAAATAGGAAACAATTTTATTAAGTCTACCTCGTTGGAGGAAACATTTAAAATTGGGATTTCTTGTACTTGGAGTCTTTTTTTACTCTCAGTCGTTTACTAGCATATTTTTCTCCAACGACAAAGAGTGCGATATCCGGGGATTCCCGTTCTAAAAATAAATAGCGATTGTCTAACGATCGAAAAATCTAACGATTCGTCTACGTATGCTTTGTGAAACGCACGTAATCGTTATGTAGTCGTTAGTCGCACGCTAATATTAACGTTAGTCGTTATTAGCGATTGTTTTATGAAACGGCAGCCAGTTACGGTCAATGCAATTTGACTGCACAGTTAAAGTATAAAACAGATATATCTTTATTTCTCAATTAACTTGGAAATCGTAGTACTTGGCGTACCTTGAAATATTTTTAGACAATAAACGGAACCGGAACATGTAGTACAATTTTGATAAAATGAAAAGATGTACCGAAAAAAAAAACTCTACCTATCAAAGATCATCAAACGAAGAAAGTTCGGTGCCTATACCGAGTTTACAACTATAGCCGAGTCCCTTGAATTGGTATATGCAAACTCATTATTTCCTGTTGGTATTACACCCCCCCCCCCCCCCCCCAAACAAAAAAATAATAATATAATAATAAAAAAAAAAAAAAATTACAAAAAACAATATAATTGTCATCACAGACATTATTGACATACTTGACCCGAAGTTTGTAAAATATTACTGGTACATTGTAAGAGACCACATCATTAGTTCAATGTAGGAATAAAACTAAATTTATATAGGTTTTTCCCGGACATCCCCCCCCCCCCTTTTTTGTAATATAATATGGAAGTTTTGATTGACTGGTATACAAATGCGTTGAGAGAATGTTTTTAAATACTTCGTGAGTCACTGTGTTTTCCTCAACAATGAATACAGTGTCTTCCGTATACTTAGGGCGGAAACATACCTGACTGGAAATATTGATGTGCATTTATGCATCAAATATAATACTACAGTTAACGTTATATCTTACGTACTGTGAATTACGTTTTTACATGCACTACAGTCAATGTTTAACATGCATATTCTACGTGCCCACAATCGAAATTATCAGCTTTGTATCTATGTTTTCGCTAATAAACATGAGTTATTCAGTTGCGCTTGATTGGTCACTGCCTTTGCTAAAATTAGTATAAATAACCACACCCTCAGCCAACAAACATTTAATGCAGTCGTTGCTTTGATTTTTTCTGCAATTCCATAAGGAAACACAAAAATTATAAAAGACCTTTTTTCCGAAGAAATTATATTCTTTCCATTGAACTCTTACCCTTACCGCAAACTATAACCTGTATGATATATAAGTAATTATTTAAAATAAACCAATTTATTATACATGTGTACATACTACGATCTTCCTTATAATATATTTCCGAATTTTGGTATAAAAAAATCAGCTCAAAGAGATATTTTTTTTTATATTTCAGAACCATATAATCAAGAAGCAGGAGGAATTAGCTCACACAGCGGTAGAATACACAACTACAACAGGTAGCTATAACGCGTGGGACACAGATCTAACACCACCAGAGGCGTCTGTCTCACTGAACAAAGATGACGTCAACATTCAGGATTACTACAATGCTTTACAGTATAGCTTATTCGAAAACAACCTTCCCGAGACTGTGGACAGAACGAAGCAGCCGAGAACACGAAAGCGTGATACGGAAGTCGCTATAGTTGTACTGGCATCACCTGTGGAATGCCTGGCGATACTGCTAGAAGGTGGGCGCCAATGTCCGGGCGATATGCTTCTCGTGTTGTCGCCAACATGGCTTGTAAAGGAGAAATCTAATAAAGGTGAAGGTCTGCATTCGCTGTTAGTCAAGAAGGCAATTGTTTTTTATCGATCAGGAACGACATATGTCGATGTCTTCGAGAAACCTAGACGGTGTTCCTACTTTGTAAATTTCTTCACAAAGGCGATCACCGATGGCCAAAGAAATGACGGTGTGGATGTTGAGCAGGACTTGGACTGTCCAATGTCAAGTTCTGTTGAGCTGTGCAAATATGTGGACGATAAACTTCTGTCTCGTATATGGATGGCGGAAGCGGGAGTTAACTACCCAGAAACCCTGGCTATTGCTTATAAACCATCGTATGAATACAACATTCCAAAGGACGCAAATATGAAAGTGCTGATCGTCGAAAATAAACATGGCATGGATAATTACATTGAAAAAAACGTAAGACAGTTCCTGAATATGGAGAGAGTCAAGTCATTTGATAAGGTATACACATTTATATAGTGATACCTTTTCTCTTAACCCGAATAATTTCAGTCTTATATTTCCGCTGCTCTACAATGGCAAGTAGCAGAGATCGATTAGGGGGGACTGAATTTTTCTGTACTAAGATGAAGGGTTACCCCTGCGTATACTACACAAAATATATTTAAAAAAGTAAAAACAAAATTAAAACAAATAAGACGATATAAAAGGACAATAAAACTACGCGTTGACGAAAAGAAATAGGAAAAAAAAACTATAAATTCTAGTAACAACAGTTAAAAAAAAAATGATAAATTCAACACAAACCCAACCAAAAAGGGTTGGTTACTCTGGTGGAAAATATTTTCCTATTTTAAATGTATATTCTATAAGAAAAGGGATTAAACAAAGTTAGAAAGGAAGAAATAAACATGAAATAAATAAAAAAAAAGTTCAACTGTAATATTAAGCCTGAAATTGTAAGGTGAGAAACCACATTCAGTTTTGTTTTTTGATACACAGGTTTTATAATACTCAAAGGAACTTAAAAAAAAAAGCAACACTTTAATTCGCATATGTTACCAATTTCATATCACAATCTTCTTTTTAACACTTAGTGTACACAAATATACTATTTATAGTGTTATTTTTATCTATAATAAACAGATCGTGGTAAAACCCTCGGGCACCATATGGCACGGCAGTAGATGTGTGACGTTCCATAAAGTGAAAAATGTGGAAGAAATTTGTAAAGCTGTGATTGACTTATTGACCTTATTGGAATTGGAAAATACAGTTCTGGTAGAAACATTTTATCAACCTGTAGAAGCAGCAAATCCAGAGTTAGGTAATTATGATTAAAGGGAAAATTCGCGATTTTTTACTTATCATCTTATTATGTTCATAATACCATAAAAAACATATTCACCAAGTTTTATCTGGATATGAAAACTAATAAAGAAGAAAATTGGGAATTATTTATTTTATTTATTCGAACTTCCTGACTTCTGTGACGTAGTTTAAGTCTTTTTGCATGTCGGGAGTGGAATTAATCTCATTTAAGTCTTGTTCGTTAACCATCTAATAACGCGATTTAAAGCGCATCGACGACTTTTGGCGTAGCTATTAACCAACTAATAATTAAGAAAGTAAAGTGATCAGCCGTGCAACTTTTAAAAATAAAATGTACGATTTATATTTTAAGGATTTCTGATATGATTATAGTCATTATAGTAATAAAAGTAAATCATACAATAGAATATTTTTATGAATTTTTTTTCCGACGGATATTTTCAACAAACATATTTAACTGATAGTGTATTAAAAATGCATGTTTGTATTCTCACCTTTTACTTCAGTCTAGCAAACATTTTCCGCTAGTACCGTGTAAATACAATGTGTATTGTACTGTGACACTTAGTGACTACCTGTTGAATGCGTGGTTAAATTCAAGGTATATAAAGGTTTGCATTCTGTAATTCTAATCTTTTGATCTTCACTCAGTGAATTTTAGCCGTCACGGTTCACCGTTCCAGGTGTGAACATCATTTCGTATGAATGATAAACGGGAGTGATAGTTTGAGACAGAAAATAAAAAAAGAAATATAATTATTTTGAGGGAGTAATATGGTGGCACAATAACTGGATAGCCGTGGTATATTTTTATATTTTCCGTAAGCTCAGTTTAAAATGAATTATGACTGCTGAATATTATTGTAACAATGAAATACTGAATTAATTTAATTGAATAAATAATAATGGCATTCTAAACACGAGTGTATGAACTAAAAATTGTACTATTTTAAATTAGAATCGGTAACCTTGAATATTTGAAATAGATAATTACCAATTGCAATTATATAAATTTGGTCCGTCCAAAGCGATCTTTATTTACATATCCCCCCCCCCCCCCCCCCCCCCCCCTCAAACCTGGGAACATTATATCTAACAATGTTTATGTTCCTGCCCAAATAAAAATAAAAAAGAAGATAAAAAAAGAAAGAGATGAACCACTAGAGATGAACGGTAAGTCACATCAGATTCAGATATTTATATAGTTGATTGTCGTTAACTAGAGATGAATAGTTACATGTCTCTGCGTTAACTGATAAGAATAACAGGAAAGTATAAACTTGAAATAGATTTATGATGAATAATATGCAACTGCGGCACCCCTTTTTATCAAAGCGTACATGCATGTATTTTAATGACTGTCCGTTATTTCAATCATAATGACAATTGTACGTGAAATCCTATAGTTGGTGAGACTTTTTTTTTTTACCAGATATGCGACTTTTCGTATTTATATTTTCTCTTATATTACTCTTATTTAATATTTTATGCATAAGTGCGATAGTGGGAATGGTTTATTCCCCACAAGCTAACGTAATAAATTAATCAACCCTCAAGCTGATCAGACGTTAATACAACTACTATCAGTCTATCCGGAGTGAAGTTTCTTTATTTCTTCAAATAAACTTTTGGGGATCATTAGTGTACGTCCAGTGGCATATATATTACATGCATGTCGGAACAGGAAAATTGGCATAAGGTTCTATTAGAACCATGTTCACATTAATATACATTATACCCAACAATTGTGATGATGACGAATTTCTTCAACTGTTCGAGAACAATCTAATTGAAATATAAATCTGTGATTTTACTATGTCCATAACTTCGATGAACCAAAGCAAGTTAGATATCGACCTGTATTTAAATCAAATTTGTTCTAGATGTTCTTTCTTATATTCAATATACAATTTTAAATTGCGACTATCTATAGTTCCGTAACTTTCTATCTAGGCGTATAAACCAATGATCGACAAGTGCGTATTTTTTAAATCAATAGTTTTTCATGTTTCAAAATGTCCATCATTATTGACAACGAGTATATACTTACATTTTCCCCAATTTACCCGTGGAAAAATATGTAAATAGATTTTTATTTTATCAAATCTTTTTTTGGAATTATTTAGATTTTCATAAATATCATTCTTTACACTAAAAATGTTATTTATAAACAAGCGTATGAGTTTAGTAATGACTAGTATATCACTATCGGACACGCAAGACAAAGATTTATATTACACCTGATAGTTTTAACAGGGGCGGATTCAGGATTTTGGAAAGGGGGGGCGTAGTATTAAACAATTTTTTGGACCTTTTTTTGACTAAAAAACATAAAATAAGTGTAAAATGCATTTTGTAGTTAAAGTGTAGGGGTTGGACATTTTTGGTGCCGTATTCTCTCAATCAATTGTCTATTATGAAATGATTGGATGGATCCAAAGCTATGTACTAATTAATTTATTTGATGTGTGATTTGTCAGTAAAAAATGGAAATGGAAAATTCTCGTTTGTTGTATGGTTAGTTAGCATAACCTCACAGATTTCTTGTTGTAAACAAGATATACGGCTATTCAATGAAATTTACAATACGACCGACACGAAGAAAGACAAACAAGCAATGTTCATCCAAATGTTTGGTTGAAATGTTTCAAATTCACCCAACAAGGGAAGTGAGGGGTTCCAAATCAACCAAAGGCTACGAATGAGTCGAAATGACAATGAAGTTGTGAATGACGGTCGACACATGGAGACATTAGGCCGCACCCAGCAGCCAGGTTGCAGCCGGGCCTTGAAAAAAGTATTCAGTATATCAGTTCGGCGAAACAGACATTCCGGTCAGATATGGGATTCACATGCAACCCCCCCCCCCCCCCCCCCCCCCCAAAAAAAAAAAATTACGCCCGTTTTTTATTCATCATGTTCATTTAATGCTAAATAATTCTGTTGAAAATATTTTATCTACTGATAGCAAAAAAGTGGACAAGATTATTGTTTTCAATCCAGATATAGCCAGAATTTTTGTTTAAGGCAAAAATCAGGGTCAGATTTTTTCTCTTAAATATCTCAGACTGCCCTTTCAGATCAAATGGTCCGTACCTTAGACTTTAAATGTATATCTAGAGCTTACTGACTGGGGATCACTATTCAGCAATGTTATTAATGGGCTCGGGCGTGTGGGGTTAAACATGTTTTCGTAGGTAAATAATATTGCTGTGGAACTTTTTTTTTCATGAGAGTGTAATAGAGTATTACTTTCTGTTGGGTGGAATTGTGAAATAGAAGTCAATACGTTCTTGCTCAATACTTTGTCGCTTTGAAGGCGTCATGCTTGTCATCCTCAGCCTAAGCAATGTGTTACTGTAATTTGAATTTCAAAATGACTGAGTGACGGTTTTTTTCGACGAACTGGTCAACTCCACCGTAGAGAATCACATGACTTTGACATAATCAATAATATATTACCGTAAATACGAGCGAAAAATATCTTTATAAGTAAAGAATTGTCGCATAAAAAGTAAATACACGGGAAATGGCAAAGTTCACGAAGTCTAGTCTGATTAATCATTTTACAAAAAAAAAAAAAAAAGTGCCCTCTACGCCCCCCTCTGGATCCGCCACTGTTTAAAATGGAAAGTTACAAGTTATCGGCCGTGTACACTAATCAATACCCTCAGAAGTGAAGCGATGCATGAACATGCTTTATGTAATTGTGAAAAAAGAGTTTTTAAACCCGACAGGAAATCGCTTGAATACCTGGACGTGTCACCTCACAATACCTCAGGGAATAATTCCTTTAGCCATGCTGGTGATCAGATAAGAGAAGGTCCGAATTTATTTAAATAAGTTTATTACATAAAAGAATTATGAACAAATTAGATTTTCGAAAACGATTTTACACGGAACACTTATTTATGACTTTGAACTTTGACTTTTTAACTAATTCCCATATAAATTTCTTGTTTCAAAAACTTCGTAAAGAAAAAAACAGTTTTAAAACGACAGACCATAGTTATTTAAAAAAATAATTACATTTTCCGTATTAAGTTAGCAAGGATTTGTATACAAATCCTTGGTATATTTAACTAAGCATGGCGATAAAAAGGGGGAGACAGGTGATCATGAATGCGACAGGAAATATACTCTTCGGGTTCATTATTATACGACACTTTATGTTTTTCTTACCAATTATAAGCACAGCCACAAACGATAAAACAATTCAATCAAATAGTTATTCTGTATATAAATGATTTGTTTCCAGCTGCAACTCTAGGTCTATTTCTTTTTCTTTTAACAAGGCGCGAATATGGCACTTCCGTTTAAAACTTTAGCGCCCTCTAGTTTAAGATCCAATCGGAATCCTTCTATGGAGGTATGGAATCGGCCGAGTTCTGACGAATGCGACAATGCTTCGGAGTATGTTTATCATTTTCTAAAGGATGTGTGCGGGGACTATACCAATTAAATATTTTATTTTCATTTTAAACTTAACTCATGTTCTTAATTCACGCAGATATTTATAGATCCGTGTGTATACAGTTGTTTTAGAAATATCTATATATCTGATGTTAATAAGATATAATTGTCTAGATAACATTTTCGATATAATCATGCTATTTCTTTTAGCTTGATTGGAATTTTCATCAAAGCTAAGTTAGAATTATTAAAACTTTTCTGTACATTAAAAACGAGGAGACATTCATGTTGATGTGATATCTGAACAATATTTCTTTTTCATATCAAACATATGCTTCACTCAAATATCATTAACAAACATTTGAAAACATTTATGTCATACATCATACAAATATCTATTAGAAATATTATGTAAGAATGTTTATTAAATATTTCTTTTTCATATCAAACATATGCTTCACTCAAATATCAATAACAAACATTTGCTAAACATTTCTATCAATACATCTTACAAATATCTATTAGACTAATATTTTCTAAATAAAATCGAAACATATATTGTTATGACGTTATTGAAATACTCATTAGATATTATCGGTGACATCCCGTTAGTCCGACAATCATTTTTCCGACATCCCATTATTCCGACAGCCCATTACTTCGACATCCCATTATTCCGACAGCCCATTATTCCGACATCCCATTATTCCGACAGCTCATTATTCCGACATCCCATTATTCCGACATTCCATTATTCCGACAGCTCATTTTGCCGGCAATGCATCTGTTATAAGTGTATGGGTAAAATTTCTCCAAAAGACCAACTACGTTCTCGATAATATTTGTGGTTGTCCTTAGATTCCGATTATTCTTCTCATGCGGGATATTTGTCTCAGTGCCTTGGAATTGATACACATTCATTGCAACTGCTGAGTCCTTATCCCCCCCCCTCCCCCCCCCGTTTTCGTTTTACGGGCCGGGTATTTTATTTGTCTTTATATTTCGGCGTTTGTGTGTCCATTGTCATTCTGTGCTGTTCTAGTCCCCGGTTTTGTTTTTGTCTCTTCTTTTTACTAGATCTTCGGTTTCCCCTCTTTCGTATCAAGGGAGTGATAATATAAATAAATATATCAGAGTTGGATAACCCTACCCGCACTCTTTGGTCGTAATACTTTCAAGCCCTTGTATCACTCAACCATAGATATAGACTCAACTAAGTTTCATTTAATTTTGTCGCGGAAAATAGCGACAAATGAAGTGTCAGTCAAAAATGAGGAAAATCACGAGACATATACAAACCCAGGGCCCAGAAAAAAAAGAGGGGACAGGACGGGGTAAAAACGTTTAAGATTTACTCCGTTCTCGATATTTCTAGTTCCATTTCAAACCCAAATTTAAATGATTGAAACCAAACCTGAGAGCTGGGGAGCTGCCGAAAGACAACAAGATACACGCGAACAATTGCATGTTTAACAGGGAAAGAAAATAATCCATTGTTGGCCTTGTTATAAACATATAAGGGTTTGATGTGTTGTCTAGTTTTTTATCGGCCTTTCACCATCTTTGTGAACGTTTCAATCAAAATTCAAGACTCGCATGTAGTTTCTACTTCCTCTGGAAATTTCAGGACTGTAGATCTATTATAAAGACCCAGAGCCCCTTTCTTTTTCCTAAAAATAGATTTTATGCAGTGATCTCCTGATTATGCAAATTTTATGGAAATGACCAATTGATGGAAATCTTAGAAATGGTCTTTGGTGGACTACATGTAATTTCTAAAAAAAAAAAAAAGCAGTCAATGGTACGTTGTACAGCATCTTAACCGAAATCACCCAGTCAGCTTAAATCATTATAATCGTCCAACATTCGTTAGTCTCGTGGCATTTCCTTCCAGTTATCCCGACTGTGAAGGATGGCATATGTAACTCGAGGAAGCCGAGGTGGACAAATTCTTATCTACAATGGTTTTGAGTACCAGAAAAACAAAACCAAACTTGATAAACTGCATAAGAGATATTGGCGTCCTGCATGTAGATCCCCGCTTAGAACAAATTTTCAGTAAAAGGGGCAATCCTTACAGTGTATATTATTCACTTATATGAGACATGCAGATAGCTTAGTCTACATCAATCTACGCCAAATTTTCATTTATAGAATGTACAAATGTCATTGACGAACCAAAAAATGGGCATTTCGTCATAACTATAATAAAATCAAATTAATCTTTTTTTCTCAATATGTGTAATTACTCAGTTTAACTCTCGTTTATATTAAAGAGAGAAATCTATGTTGTGCATACCGAAAATGGGAAATAATGCAGCTTTGACTGTGAGTAATTGGTATGAATTATGGCCTTTTTGTGTTGTAGATTTCAATTAACCCACAAATGTACATAATTTAAGGCGCCGACCATTTATCTTTGTGAGGTGGGCATGTTTTTTCTTAATTGTTTGATTTGAAAAAAAAATATTTGATTCATAAATCAAGCCCCCCAAAAAGTGTTTGATTTGAACGCTGTGTACCTGTTGAATAAATACTGTTTCTAAAAAAATATTATTTTCAACCTGAAATAATTTGAAAAAAAAGTTTGCTTCTGCTAACTATTTAAAACCTTGTTTTGCTTTGTATTTTTATTGGAACAAAATACACTCTAGAAAAAAACTATTTTGGTGAAAAACAATCATAACAAAACAAAATCCAATGGAGGTCAATATATTTGCGTTGGTTTAACTAGTTTCAAGTGTCTATTGTTTGTTCTTGTGTAATATAAAAATAAGGATATGTGGTATGCTTTCCAACGAGACAACTATCCACCAAAGTTCAAATGAAGTGGATGTAAGCAATTATAGGCAACCGTACAACCTTCAACAATGAGAAAAACCCATACCGTATAGTCGGCTATAAAAGGTCCCGACATGAAAAATATGAAACAAATCAATTGTGAAAACTAACGGCCTAATTTATAACAAAATAATTTACGAAAAACAAATATGACAGACATGAACCTACGACAACCACTGAACTACAGGCTCCTGATTTGGCACAGACACATTCAGAATGTGGCGGGGTTAAATATGTTTGAAGGCGCCAACCCTCTCCAAAACCCGGAACAGTGGTGTAACAGTACAACATAAGAACAAACAATAAAAATCAGTTGAAAAGGGCTTAACTCATCAGATCGAAACAAACTGGACTAACGCTTGCTTTGTCTACCATTCATTGGTAAAGTCAAGAAAATTGAAGATTGTGTATTTTTCATAGCAAATTATATTCCGACCCCGCCTAATTTGTTGAAAATAGTTTGATGAGAATCTGTATAAATAAATCCCTGTATAACTTAATTCGAATTCTGCATATATATATGTATTACGTAATTAAAAGTTTATATAATTAAAAGTTTATATAGTCTGTATTTGTGCATGCAAAATATTGTTATGTCATAATTTCGTATATATATCGTAAGTCTATCCATACGGAAACAGTTCTGTACATCCGTTTTTTGAATTCTGTAAATACATAAACGATTTCTGTATGTACGAAAAGGCGCAAAAATACCTAATTGAATAATATACCTCTATACACAAATTTTAACTACGTAAATACACATTTCGAATTAAGTATATAAAAAGTATTCGAACTACCTATATAGTATACGGAATTATTTCTGTACATATGTACATTGTAATAACATATACGTTTTAATACAGACAGAAATAATTTTTTACATCGGATGACCGTGAGGGCATTCCGGTGTATTGCTGTCGCCTAGATTTCCATTACGTAACGTTCGTGTTGGGATTGTAACCGATCTATAAACATGATAAATACGCGGACATGACCGAGTGCAAAATAACATTCCTTATCGCTTGTTATAAATTCATTTTTCAATGGATACTCCTAAAAATATTTTTTTAGAACATAAAATAATAATATGAAAATGTTTGTCGTTAGAAATGTATATAAGTAAAAAATCTTTAATATCTATGCACACGTACAGAAAATGTGTGTTAACGCATGCGGAAGAATATCTCAAGAACGTTTGCAATCTCCCATGTAGAGTTATCGGGCCTCGCTCTCTCTCAAGGACCGATAACTCTGCATGGGAGATTGAAAGTTTGGCAGGAAAATATGAATGCCTACTCAAATCCAATCTATTAGAAAAATCGAATTATCACAGAAGAGTGTCCACCATGCACTTGCAGTGCACTGTTATTAATATAGTAGAATAGAATGATATACAAATGGATGAAAATTATATATACATGTAACTGTAATATACAAATATTAATATAAATAATATAACAACAAACCAGAGTATACTGATTTGTATCACTTCAATATCATATTTATTACGGTGAGGTTGAATTCCCTGTCATTAATTTATCATCCACGCACGAACTTGTCTAAGAAAAAAAAATATATCTGTACATTAACCTCACTTTCAGGTATAGAGATGTGATTTTTATGACCCCGCCGTAGCGGAGGGGGCATTAACTTTTACCCTTGTCCGTCTGTACGTACGTCCGTCCGTACGTCCATCCGTACGTACGTCCCAAAGTTGGTTTCCGTTCTCTAACTTTATGAAACTTATACATAATGCTTATTACCACTAAATACAGATCGAGTTTGAATTTTGGTGGCGTCACTTTTACCGTTCTAGAGTTATGCCCCTTTACAAATGGAAAGCAAAAAATATTTATTTATTCATTATAAAAAAATATTAACAAAAAATGTTTTAATATTAGCAATCAAACATTGGGATGAAATGTTATTGTTAAAATACCATTCACGCATAATTTCTGATGTAAACAAAATGTCTATAAAATATTTATGATAAACATATATATAACCAGTCAATAATATCATGAAAATATTTTGTGTAATCTGGGTAACTGGACAAACAAATTTTTAGCTTATTCAAATATTTTCTTTAAAGAAAATACAGGAACATGACTTTAAAATTACACTTTTTTTTTGAAGTTAAGAATCGCAATTTATTAATAACCCATCTTATTATATTAATTATGGGAAAACAAATATTTGTTTTTCAGCTGATTACTCGTTCAGATGGAGAACCATTGTATGCAGAAGAATAGATGATACACCACTTACAACACAGATGGTTTGTGGGATAGGTCTGAATCATCAACCAATCAATGGCGACGACACCATTCCTCAAACTTTTGAAACAACAATGAAAATGTGGAATATGCCTGATGATGATATGAATCGTTTATTCGATAAAGTATCCACAGGTTCAGAAAAGATCATGGATCGTATTATTGAATATGAACGTGGGCTTTCCACAGATATCAAAGGAGGCGTTGGAGCACGAACTGAACTTATAGGTATGTCTTTTTCTTGCTTGGGCTTTTTTTTTATTAAGCTGACCTGTCATATAGCTCCTAACGTTGCTACGTATTTATACATCCTGGGCATTCAAATGTTTGTATTTGTTCGTTCCCGGTGAACATGGTGATACAGGAAAGCCATTCGGATGCACAAAATTTATAAAATGTTATTTTCATTCAGTCAGTTTTACCTAAAGACTACTATAGAATGATTACAGCTGTACACGATATTAATATTTAATGTTTCGTTTTTAATTTTGATAGGTATAGACTACGTTCTGGGAATGGTAGATGGACAGTTGGAGGCAGTTGGAATAGAAGTGAACAGTCATGATTGTACCATCAATTGTCAGTTGTTTGAATTCTTGAACCCCCATAGACAGGGAGAAGCAATGAAACCACTAGTGGAGACTATGATAAGACGTTCTCAGCTGTTTGCCATGCAAGACAAATTAGTTCTTGTAGTCGGAGCTGGAGGCTTCAGCAAGAGGTTTATATGGGAAAGCTTTCGATCATTTGGCATCAATGTAAGTCATTTTATGATGGCATGCTGTATTTTTATTTGCTTGAGATAAAAAGGATGGGTTCAAGGCTTTTTTAACCCCTTATAATTCGAAAATATTAACACAATCACTTAAAAATAAAAAAAGTTGGAAGGGTATTTATCCCTTAAGGGCTTTTGAAAAAATATCTGGTTCCGTTCTTGATATTTTAGACGTTTTCAAGAACCACCATTTGAGTCTGCATATAGATAAAGATATCTATATAACTTTAAGTATAAAGATGTGGTATGGTTGCCAATGAGACATATCTCAATTAGAGATCAAACAACGTACTGTAGATGAAAGCAACTTGTGGCCTCCGTATGTCTTGCCATGATTGCCGTTATTTTTACCATTACGGACAATTGTGCACCCTTCCCTCGGACCCTGGATCGGTCCGTCCCTGTTGTATGACTAGAAAGCAGTGGATTAATTTCGTTTAACATATAATCTATAACTAGATAAACAGACGACCCGGGAAAGAAATTCCGGTTATTTCAAACATAAATTTAAAGTGCTTTAATTATACACCATACCATTTTAACTATAGGTATTTAGATGTAGTACGGGCATGTTCTCTTACATGTAGCATAATAATTTACCAGTTGGACAATATATTATAATTTCTTGATTTTTGTCTTTCTTCTAGGTTGTTCTTGTTGAACCAGATAGTGCAAGCTTTGGTGCATCGAGGTGTACAAAATTTATTCAGTACGATTTTCTTGACCATAAACAAGACGAGGCTCATGCTACAGACATCATTAAAATTCTCAAAGATGAAGGAATAGTTGTCGATGGGTGCGTTACATTCTGGGAAGACTGTGGTCCATTAGCAGCAACGATTTGCGACATGTTAAAATTGAATGGTCCAGGAAAACGTTCAGCACACGTTGCGAAAAGGAAAAGCTGGACACAAAACGTGTTACGATCAAGAACTGGCAATATTCCGCACTTTCCGAGATCTCATCTTTATTCCAGTATATGCTGTTCTATAAAAAGTGAATCTGACGTCGACAAGGCTTTAGAGAAGATTAGGTTACCTGCAGTTTTAAAATTGGAATACGGGTCAAGTGGCGTCGGCGTAAAACCGGTTGCAGACCGTGTTGAGTGTATTAATATATGGCAACAGTTATCATCAATTCTTCAGTCCGACGAAGATCACCCTGGTGTTGGGCTCGGGCATGGCAATGATATTATGCTTATGGAGAGAATAGATGGCACAGAACACGATATAGATATCATTATATTCCAGAGGCAGCTTATTGCTGCATTTGTCTCGGATAATGGACCAACCAGGAAGGGCTCTTACACTGAAACAGCAGCCTTACTGCCAACATGCCTACCATTGGATAGAAAAGGACAGCTTATCACTTCTGCTTATCAGTGTTGTACTGAAATTGGACTCGTTACTGGTGTTTTCAACGTTGAAATGAAAATGACAAAAACGGGACCAAAACTGATTGAGATAAATGCTAGAATGGGTGGTTTCTATCTGCGTGACTGGATCAAGACTTGCTATGGGCACGATCTTTTACTCTATGCGTTCATGGTTTCTTTGGGTATCAGACCAGTTATTACGAATATGGAACCAAAATGCACTCTTATGGGAATGATGTGTCTGTCATCCGTACACAAACAACAATTAAAAAATCCAAACAGTTTGAAATTCTTAAATGCGTTAGTTTCAGGAAATATTGTTCGGTATAACCAGATCGAGGCTTCCTTAGACGAATGTGGAAGTGAAAATGATGAGGAACCTTTTGCTAACATTGCTGTAATGGACAAAAATTTGGAAACGGCAAAAGCTAAACTGATCAATATCGGCAATGCTCTTGGCTTAAATACAAATAACTATGACTATAACTTCTTACTGAGTCATTTTAAATAATGACTGTTAGCGGTTAGGTGTTCTCATCGGTTACCGCTGTCGTCATTCATGAAAACCATTTATCATTGCTCGGCGATTACTGCTGTTGTCATTCATGAAAACCATTTATCATTGCTCGGCGATTACCGCTGTCTTCATTCATGAAAACCATTTATCATTGCTCAGCGATTAACGCTGTCGTCATTCATGAAAACCATTTATCATCAAGAAAAGACTGCACATTCCAAGAATAGCGGACCTGTAAAGTTAGGAACATTGTACATAGTAACAATCTTCGTCATTGCATTGAAAATCAATTTTGTATTTTGTTAATTTGTTTAGTTTAAAAAAAAACTAAGTTCTGTTTAGCTAACAAAAAAAAAACATTCATTATATTGTTTTTATTTTTAAAGAGTTAAAAATTACTTGATATGTTTTTTTTGGGGTAAAGATGAAATGCAATCAAAAACCTATGGTACTGACTTGATATCTATATCTTCCAAGGTTGATCACTACCTTTGGTAGGTCAAACAAAATAGTGCAGTGAAGTGATCATTATTTAGATCATATCCAATCAATGTCATGCAATTTATTGATGATATGTTATACTTTAATATTTTAGTTACAATATGCTGTGTATTTTAATTACCATACGTGTCAAGAAAACATTTATTTATTAAAAATTACACAAGTAATGAATGGTGTATGAATCTGTTATAAAAATAGGTTCAACTACAAATATACAATCATGAACAAAGGAAGATAACCCCAACTCATATTTTTAACTTGCTTAGAAAAATACAAATCAATGTTTTATTTAAAAATTCACAAAATTGCAAAACGAAAGCAATCTTTTACCCTTCAGTGCTCACAAGCATTTTGATTCACTTAAGTTTAATGGAATGGTTTTATGCAGTTTGATTGGTTGACCGATTTCCACTGTTTACATCCATGGAATCCAATTTTACAGATGCGTTTAGACATTAAGAATAGCAGACTTGTTGTATATACTAGCTAGCACTCTTTAACAGTTAGTTAATTGTGTGTTGAGGATCTGAATTTTGCATTTTGTACTGTTTGCATAATAGCTTACATAATTTAATATTGTATTTACGTCGTATTAAAATTTTCTTTTGTTCGTTAAACATTGATCAGTCAATTGTGAGGGAGCAATGTAAAGGAATAAAATAATTTAAAGACATATAGAAGGCAATTGTTTTCAATTAACAATTATAGAATTTTGTCTTATCTTTTTATTATGTCAAGCTATTCCTAGCCTATACAAGTTGTGATTAAATTAAACAGAAACTATCCAAGATCTGCCATGATGATATGAATTGGTATGTTTTCTGCACCTCCAAGAGTCCTGAACAGACATGACATATTTGCCACTGAACGTTAAGTAACCAACAATCAATCAATCTTCACCTCCACTATATGAGATCGAGGATATCCCCATTTAACCCATAACCCACATAAAATCTCAAAACACTGTAGACTTCAAAATATTTATATTTATTATTTAAACAAATAGGTTGAAATTAATTGATCTAATCAGTCCTGACGTGCAAGTTTTGTCAAGGACCAGAAAAAAAACTGAAGTATTTCATACTATACTATACATTACTTTACTTTTGACAGTGACCAGTTCAATTTATATACACACAAAAATTAGAGATTTAAATATTATTTTCATTTGCACCAAATTCGCAAAACAAAATGAATTTTATATAAATTTTCGACAGGTTACATATTCTGTGTTAGGATATTCTGGTACTCGGTCAAGTATTAGAGACGACTTAAAGAAGTAAAAACCAAGCTTACAATCGGTGCAATTTGGAGAGAAAAATGACAATCATTTGAAAGCAGTTAATTTTCCCCCAAATTGCACCGATTGTAAACTTTTTTTAGTTGCCCTTACTTGACAGAGTACCATATGTCTTACCCCAATGTCGGTAACCTGTCGAAAAAATTATAGACTCCAGAGTCAAAAGACGGCAATATGAAAATAGTCTCTTAAAACCACAAGCCGAAGAAAGACTTTAAAAACCTTAAGCCGAACAAAGACCTTAAAAATCACGAGCCAAAGAAAGACGGAAACAGAAATATTTTAAAAAATACAAACCAGCCAAAAAAGGAATTGAAGAAATAAGCAACATGATGCCGCCAAAACTGGAGTTCAACTCGATTGCCTTTAATAATATAATATACTCCGTATAAATCGAGCAAGAAGTCGCATTCAATGGTTTTATAATGAGGAATCGGATGATTGTTTGGTTTCAATGGGAACATAGTTATGGTCATCTGTAGCTGTTTAGGTTTCTGTTGCATTAAAAAAAAAAATATTGTGCATTTGTGTTCTTAGTCTTGTTTATTCCAGTCGTTGCCTTTTACAAAATTTCGTGCAATCTATACAATAACTGTATTACTTAAACAACATAACGACGAGAGGACTCGAATTAGAATCTAGAATGGGCATATCAGAGCTTTTTTTTTTGGAAAGAGCGCATGATCAAGACCTGTCGGATATTAACTGTATAATAAATTATCTTGTGTAAATTGTGTTAAATTTTTTATGGAAAAGACTTCACTGTAATGTGTAAAACAAAATGTCGAATGGTGGAGAGAGTACCAACACTAAACAAAGCACCTGTGCTATTTTGAATATGTCTACTTTGTCGATTTTGTGGGTTTTTCTTTGTTTTGTCCTAGACTTTCAATGCGAGACATGGATTACAATCCGGTGGCAGCAGTGGCATTAACATTCGTATATAGCTCCTGTTACGAAGTTTTCGTCTACCATATGTCCATTTTGCTTTACCTCATTTTCATATGGTTAAGTGACTGCTTAAAAAAAATGTATTTTCTTATGTGAATTTCTCTTTTATTATGAGTACAAGGATAACTATATTTGGTATATGGGTTCCTTTTAAGGTCTACGTGCCTGTCAGACAGGGTTCACCTGACCTTGACCTCATTTCATGGATCAGTGATCAAGGTTAAAGTAACGTGATTAGGTCGGTTTCTAAGATACTAGATTTGGTTTATGGAATGATTGTAAGGTATACAGTTCTGACAGTATCGACTGTCCTTGACCTTGTTTTCATGGTTTATTGATAAATGTTAAGTTTCCATAGTTTGATCCTATTCTCAGATACTATAAGCCATAGGTCAACTATATTTGGTGTATGGAATGATTGTAAGAAGAACACGCCTGTCTGGCAGGGTTCATCTGACATCGATTTCATTTTCACGGTTCAATGGCAAATGTTAAGTCTGATACTTAGATACTATAAACAAAAGGAACTATATTTGGTGCTAGGAATGGTTTGTAAGGTTTAGATGTTTGTCTCGCATGTAAGATATGACCTTGGCCTCATCTTCATGGTTTATTGGTCAATTTTAAGTTATAATGGTTTATAGATATAAGAAGATGTGGTATGAGTGCCAATGAGACAACTCTCCATCCAAGTCAAAATTTATAAAAGTAAACCATTATAGGTCACAGTAGACTGTTTCTTGGACACCACAAGCAATAATTAAACTGTATTTGGTGTATGGAATGATTGTATGGTTTACATGTCAGTCTGGTAGGGTTTATCTGACCTTGAACTCACTGTCATGGATCATTGATAATGTTAAGTTTATGCGATACTCTAAAATATGTATCTTTAAAATTTTCATCATAAAATCAATCGTGTTCAGAAAAGCTGGCGAGACATTTCAGTTTGTGCACTCTTGTTTTTTTTATTTGGTTACTGCATTTTAGACGTTTGATCAGCATCTCCGTTTAATATTCAGACCCTAGATGTTGGCGGAGTGAACATTAAAAGACAAAGAAAGAATTATTTCTTTCATTTTCTGTCTGTACTGATTGACGTGACATCTCCATATCAAATGTTAACGCTAGAAAGAAAAAAAAAACCGGGGGAGTAGTCACATGTTTTCAAAAGGAGGTTCGGTAGGTACATTTTTTTTTTACTTTCAAGCAATCTGGTTCTACATTTTGACTGTTTGATAATGATTCATTGATTGATTGTTGGTGTTAAACGCCCCTGTCACAACTATTAGCTGTATTGCTGCGATCAGTTTTTATTGGCAAAGAAAACCGGAGTGCCCGGACCGAACCATCGACCTTAGGCAGGACCACTGGCAATCCCAGTCAATAAAGATTGAAGTCGAACGCACCTGCCACTTGGGGGTTTCTAACACTCAGTGTTGAAAACTTGACAGGCTAATGACACAGAAGATGAACTACTTGCACCACTCGGGCCACTGAGGTCCCGTTCTGCATTTTGAAACTGCACTCTAAAAACATTTTGAGAGGAAATAGTTCTAGTTACCGATGTGTTATATATAGTGTTCCACTTACCTTTGGTTCCCAAACATCGATTTCCAATGAAGGCTGTAATGGTCATTTATTAGGTCCTTAGATTTTCTCTAGATTTATGTTTTTTTAACGGTGGAATTTTACGTTTAAACAACTTAAAGATTTGCACGATTAAACGATTTTTAAAAGATTAAAATCTACCACCTTGCTACGTTAGATATGTTTGTTACACCGAGTGACAAAACATCTGAAGGAGCAAATGAAAAATCTGATTTTAATCAGATTGTAGATAACTTGAAAAATAATTAGAGTAGATATAACTTTTCAAACAATAACACAATTTTAGACTTTTTGTGGTGACATCTTCCTGTATGAGAATGGTCAAGGTTGATATACAAATTGAATAATATGTTTACAATTAGATTAGAAATTATATATTAAGCGAAAATAGCAGGATAGCAACATCCAACAGCCAGCGCATCATTAGCTATATCATATGAATTGGGAAATGTATAGGGTTATATAATTGATAAATTAAATACGGGTTCAGCAAGAGTTTAACCCGTTTTGAACTTTGACGCTTGTAATTATACAATTTAGATGTAGGCTTCTCATATCTGTGGGACGTCAGCCCCAAAGATATGAGACGACTACATCTGATTAACATAAAAGTAATAAATAAATATTTTATCTTTTCTCATGTTCTAAAAAGAGCAATTAGTTTTGATAAAACAGGAAAAGTGTCATTAACTTAAATTTTCCAGATGCAGTGACTCTTTCATCAGATGTTTTGTAGATGGATTTGAAATGAAATCTTAATTGCGTCTGTTTTTTTCTGTCATCAAATTGATACCTTATCACTGCTTTTTGTATGGCAAAATGAATCGCTGTACTATCTTGTCTTTTTCTGGATGAATTGCCAAAATCTGAACTTTTTGCTGATAAAGGATAACACTTCTATGTAAAATGAACATACACAACGTCATGCACATGTTTTCGAACTACTGAGACGCAGTGGTTTCCATTATCAATCATGTAGTTAGTTCACTGAAGGTTCATCGATCTTATTCTAAAGACAATTCACCACTATACTTTGAGCCGGTTTTAAACTTTGTGCAACTCGGCAAACAACGATAAAATAAGGAATACAATCCACTGGGGTGGGGGGGGGGGGGGGGGGGGGGGGAGGGGGAACAAAATGACGAATGAAAGTAAGGAGATTTTGTATAATGATTGTTATTGAGACTTCTATCCAAAAGACAGGGATGTAAGCCACTATAGGCCCCTCTATGGTAGTGGACACTATGTCGACAGATATATTTTTCGTTCGATCAAAATATAGGTTTATATGTTTATATATTTAAGTTTTTTTTTAAATTCTAAACATCCTAATAAAATTGAGAATGGAAACGGGCAATGCGTCCAAGAGACAACAATCCGACCAAAGAGCAGAAAACAGAACAACTCCACCGATGGGTCTTTAACACAGCGAGAAAATTCAGCACCCGGAGGCGGGCTTCAGCTGGCCACTAAACAATAATGTATACTAGTTCAGCTAATGCACTAGTTAAGCACGTCACATCCTATCCTAAATCTATATTTTATTGTTTTTGAATGGTATGCTGGGTAAGCCATTTGGGTAGAATGGTATGTAGGGTAAGCCAGTTGGCTTTAATGATATGCTGGTTAAACCAGTTGGCTTGAATGGTATGCTGGATAATCCAGTTTGTTTGAATGGTATGCTGGGTAAGCCAGTTGGCTTGAAAGGTATGCTGGGTGATCCAGTTGGCTTGAATGGTATGCTGGGTAAGGCAGTTGGCATAAATGGTATGCTGGGTGAGCCAGTTGGCTTGAATGGAATGCCGGGTAAGCCAGTTAGCTTGAAAGGTTTTGCCGGGTGAGCCAGTTGGCTT